CCACTTGTCAAATTATATTTCGTTGGAAATCCATAATGACAATGACACAATGACTATAAATATGAAAAAACATATAAAATATATTGGCATAATAATAGTTAAAAATTTAAGATGGAATGAGCACGCAGAATATGTTGCGAATAAAATAAGGTTTCTACTGAACAAATTCAAGTTTTTCAAAAATATTTTTGACATAGCACAGCTCCGAACATTATATTTCAGTCTAGTACAGTCCCATATCAACTATGGAATGATTGTGTGGTGAGGTACTACTGATTATCATCTCAGGGTTATTAATGTCACTCAAAAATTTCTCATTAAAATTATTTTCAATAGAGATTATACCTATCCGTCTAAAACACTTTTCACAGAATCTAAATTTTTTACATGTAGACATCTATATTTTCTGAGTCTTGCAATGTATAATAGAAGATATGAAACAAAATTATTGTCTGTGGATCACTTGTACAATACCAGATTCAAGCAAAAAATCTCAAGGATTCCTAAAGTAAGAACATCTCGAAGTCAGAGATTTCTCACATACTTGTGACCTATTGCCTATGCAGAAGTTCCATTTGAAATAAAGTCTACTACAAGTGATAACAGATGAAAAAGAACTGAAATTATGGCTAACTAATATAACAATAGGTAAGATGAATGAAATATTGGAACGAAAAAAAAATGAATTAGTGATGCAGAAAGAAAAAGCACATGTTCTCACAAAAATAATGTAAATATTTATATGTATAAATGGAAATGATTTCACAATTCATGATCTACACTAACTTTATAAGTATATTTGAACTTTTGTTCATCTGTTTACATCTGTCATTATTGTTCACCATATTCTGTACTGTTGCAATCTTTCTGAACAAGGACTTACTTTATGGAATAGACAGCAACTCTACAAAAGTGCAGTCATCAAGGACCATATCAAGAACAGAACAGTGAATGAAATATATGACATATGACTTTCAATTATTCTACGTATTTGCTGTATGAATGATGAATGTTATGACCGATGGTTTAGTGTGTAATGTTGTTTTTTCACTAATTCATGTTCATGATACTTTTATTCATTTTTCCATTTCAACTGACATACATAAAACGTCTTAACATAGTTTATTGTTTCGTTTTTTTTTGTCATACACAAGCTCTATGAGCTTCAGTGGCTTGTCATGTTTATTTCTGCATTTCTTCTTGTTTATATGTATATGTATTCAATCTTATGAAATAAACATTATTATTACTATTATTATTATGAGGGGTAACTTTTATTTTCCACTCACGAATTCAAGAGGTATCCAGAGTGCACTATAGCGTTAATTCCCACTGAAACGCAGTTATCACCTTATAACAATGGATCCAACGGAGGGAGCACCATAATTTGCATAGTGAATTTATTTGATTAGCAGCTAATACACGAGTGCAGAAGGAGAATTGCATAATATTCTGGAAACGGTTTATATAAGTGCATCATATATCATGTTGATTAAGCTCCGANATATATCCGTTCGAACACTCGGTCAACTGCGGTGAGTATTCGTGTGTATAAGATGCTTGTAAACAACTTATAACACGAATTCAAGCATGTTATCGGTCTGTAATTCTTAGAAATCGACAAATCTCCGCTTTTGAGGATAAGAACGGTCCGCCCCTCGACAAACCAATCCGGAATCGGCTACTCTACGTCCAGCCATGAGTTGAAAACTCTGGCCAAATGGCGGTGGGTGCTTGGTAGTTTTTTCCACCAATAAGTGTTCAGCCCATGTGGGTCTGGAGCAGCAAAGTTCTTGGAACCCGCAAGGGTTCTTCGAACGTCATCCGGGGTTATTGGGTTGCGCAGTTCATTGAGCGCAGGCTGTCGAAGCTCTCTGTTGAAAGCTTCGAACTGCGCTAGGGCTGGAGTGTCTAAGTTGAGTGGCTGCGGGTGTTCGTAGATTTTGAAGTTTATTCATTTTCTATAATTATTTCAGCAATAGGCTAGAAGTATTATATTGTTTTTTGAATATTTTAGTATGTAGAATGCAACTGAACAACTATTATTAACGAACTTTTTTATATCATTTCGAAAAAAAATGGATAATATTCCATAATATTCCACTCTCTTTCACTAATGTGAAATTTGCCTTCTAGAAATGTATATTTTGAATAATCCGTTCTTTAAATTTTCAGATGTTGACAAGGATCAATATTTTTGCTTCCCATTGGAAGTACCTACTTGACGTTTAGATAATGCTTTATGGAATATTGTAGCATTAGAAATTGAAATTGATGAATCTGTTATAATGTTATTTATAACCGACTTTGACGGGTCAGAGAAGATGACGTCTGAATCCATTAAAGAGCTTCCATATATACCTATATTCATTGTTTTTTTCGTGAAACCATTTAACATCAACTCTTCATTTCCTTGACTCTGCATTATATTTTTAGAATGAATATCTTCATTGGCAATATATCTAAAAACTCAGAGTCTGCAGTCATGACGGATGAATTGAATTCGTCAACCTCAATTTAAGCATCACTATTTTCTTTTGAAACTTTCTGGCAATGTGTTGAATATTTCGCATATTTCTCAAGTTACTTAATAGTTTTTCATCGGAAAGAGCATTAACTTTGGAGTTTGAGAAATTTCCGGAATAAATGGTGACAAAATCATCATCAGATTTATTTAAGAATGTTTCTTGTTCGTCGTGGAGAAGAACTTTAAACGACTCAGATTCTTTCTGTAAGTTGAATTCATATATCGAGTTGTCGTATAAGTGACAAGAATTCAAACCTTCCTTAAACTGATTTTCACTTTCAATCAACTGAGCGGATTTTTTTTTATCGATTTGCTTCTATTTGGTTCGATACCATCATCCACATTCAAAAAAGATTTTTTTATGTTTGTTTTGCTTTCAAACATTGTTTTTATATTACCAGAATTTCGTTGAATCGTCTGATAGATCCATCTCTTTTTATCTTTCTGTTGATGTTTATTGTGAACATGCGCAACTGAATGATCATAAAATACATCATTGTAATCAATTACGACTGGTTCATCGTAAGTAATGATACTATTAAACTATTTTATTCGATCAACAAGATTTTTATATATATAAATTGTAATGAAAAGTGAAATGAAGTAATTTATATACACAAAAAAATTAATGGCGCAATAAATGTTCGAATTGGAGTTCATCAATTTCGAGACATTTTTGAAATCGGTTTTTCATATTATTCATTGTCCTTAATACACTTATTTGTTGCATTGTTGCGAAATCATTCAATATCCTCAATCTCGAGTCTTCCACATTTGCAGGCCATCTTATTGGCCCATTATTTGTCTCGAAATGGAAGGACTCCAATTCAAACATTTATTGTGCCATTGATTTTTTTGTGTATATAAATTAGGTACTTCATTTCAATTTTCATTACAATTATAGCGTTCGTTTCGGATGTTATTATTGCTATCATTTCTTTTTCTTCTCATCAAAACACATATCATATATTTTTGTTATAGATATGTTTCAGATAATCATAAAAGGTTTTCTTATTCGAAGTTCATTGTAGAAAATGCTCAGAGCAATGAAAAAAATATGAATAGGTACCTGAAAACGAAAAAAAACTCTCTAAAACTCTATGGTACATAGGGAGACGTGAAAGTTCCTATCGTGTTTTTATTTAACTTGGTCAACCAATTTCCAGGGCCGTAATTTAAAAGGGAATAATTCACACAATTATAATCGAATATTACCGAAACATCCCGAAATATAAAATTAAATTCAATTTCTCAGTATGAAGTGAACGTCTACGATCCAAAAACTACAACAAAAAATACAGGTCCGTATTTAAAAATTCAAAGATGGGGGTGGCCCAAGTCAGATAACACCCTATATAAAAGATTCATGGATATATTCTGATAGCCCACATCATGTGCCAATAGCAAAATGTTGACAGATTTTCAATATTTCTGCGAATAAAGTCTCTGAAATACGCAACTTTGCCACAATTTAACCGACACTCTATCTCTTATCGTTTACGAGATCCCCATGTACAGAAACGAATTTGAATAGCCCTGTATTTTCACAACCAACGCGTAAAACAGATAAAAGACAATTCACAACTACACCTAAATATTTCAACTTTGGTCGCCGCCAAATAGGTACCAACCAAGAGCATAAAAGCAAATCATGCAGCAGAACTGTCATTGCACGTTAAAACAATATTTACTAAGGTGCGTTTGGTCGAAGTGAGATTACATTGAAATACATAAAACTCAGTAATTACGCTGCATACCAAAATGTTTTTTTTTGTTGAAATGTAGAAAATTGTTTGTTTGAAGGTGATTGACAATGTTTCATGATGAATTTTACTAGTTCGGACTTCCATTGTCTAATACATGAAATGATTTGAAATCCCTGAAACAACTAAAAAAGGAGAATTAAAAATGAATACAGATACAATACAGGTACGGTCGAGTTCCGTGGTGGCCGTGGTAGTGGACGGACGTGCTGATAACGTCCGTCCACAAAGAAGGTACGCGGATGCCACGTGCTATCGTGGGACTCCGTTTTGTGTTGTGTTCGTCCATTGTGTTAAATATTGAAACATGGTTAAGAAATATCGTTTAAGTGTATTTGAATAAATAGTGCTATCATTCACGCCGGTTGAAGGCCGAGGTGGACCGGATGTCCACGTGGGAGTGCTAAAGTGGAAAATTATATAATACCTACTCCCCATTCACGCCGGTTGGAGGCCAGGTAGACCGGATGTCCACGTGGGAGTATTGCAATCAATAATTGTTTATGAAGAAGATGATAATTTTATATATCAAAGAGTCTTCCGAGCAGAAAGCGACTATAAAAAATTTGAATTGTTGTTATCGCAAAAAAGTTCGACAAAAAAGGGGTGGCAGCATTGCTTCGAGCAAGACCGCTGCCCCGACGAAGCTCCTGTCATCTTTGAAGAAGGAGCCTGGACAAATGCGCCCGAGTGGGAAGCAACGTCCAAAATTAGAGCGAGAGAGAGAGGTAGGTAGGTTAGAAACTCCCAAAAACTACAAATATATATTTATTCAAATAATGAAACAACTCATAAATTTTGACACATAACTGTTGGAGATGGATATACATACCGTGACTTTGGTTAGTAGTGACAAACAGAGCTGAATTGCAGAATCAACCAGTTAAATAGAGATAAAGACATTAAGGCAACAAAAAAACATTTTATCGTTTACATCCCAGGAACTAATAAATGAAAAAAGTAATTACATTGAAAAGAATGTACAACTCTTTAAGGCTCTATTTACTGGTGTTTGTAAGTGTCCTCTTGTTTATTTGCGGATTTTTTCCTATACCCAACACTACAGAACAATTCATGAATGAACCACCAAATCATATTAATAATATTACTTTAAAAAAACAGAACTATTTCATTCCTGTATTTAAAAAAGCTGTTTTGATTGTGATAGATGCTCTGCGATTTGATTTTGTAACGCCCGATTTAATGCCTTTAACTTTTGGCCTCGTCATAGAAAATGGGTGCATTAGTAAAGTAAAGGTAGAGGCTCCAACAGTAACACTACCTCGTGTAAAAGCTTTGACATCTGGAAATATACCACAATTCATTGATGTGGTTTTGAATTTAATGGGTACAGGCATTTTACAAGACAGTTTGATACATTCTGCAGATAAAAGTGGAAAAAAGGTGATATTTTATGGAGATGATACATGGTTGAAACTATTTCCAAATAAATTCTTGCGTTACGAAGGAACAAATTCTTTCTTCGTAAGAGATTTCAAAGAGGTAGATGATAATGTTACAAGAAATATAAACATTGAACTTGAAAATGGCGACTGGGATATTATGATTCTCCATTATTTAGGTAATTGTGCCTTTAAAACTCGAAAATGTATAGAAATTAATTAGTTTCTATATTCCCCAGGTCTAGATCATATTGGTCATGTCTACGGTCCATTTTCCTCATTTGTACCTGAGAAGCTAAGAGAAATGGATCAAATAGTACAAAAAATCTATGAAAAAATGTCAACTAAAAGTGAAACCCTTCTTGTTGTTACTGGAGATCATGGGATGAGGGATAGTGGAGGGCACGGAGGTTCAACCTATTCAGAAACAAATGTACCCTTACTGCTTATGGGACTTCAATGTGAAAACAGCAGTTTTCTTCAAACTGACATTCCTGTGAATTTAGCCATCTTGCTTGGATTGAGTATTCCTTCTTCTGCCATCGGCAAAGTGCAAAAAAGTATGCTCCCGTTCGGTTTAGAAAAGTATTTGTATGTTTTGAGATATAACTGTTTGTTATTGAAACAGAAGAGTTCTATTTGCGATGATCATCTTGATTTAGCTACTTCTTTACATGAAACCTACTTGATGAATTCCAATCAACAAATTGGTTGGCGAGCAACTGAATTGTACGAAAAATGTTCAGAAATGATAAGGAACACTTTAATCAAATCATCAGTTGAACAAAGTGTGAGCTCTCTGATAATATCTATGCTGGTAATGTTAAATGTTTTGATAATGCTTTATTTGAAAATTGTAACAAATGATAAGTTTGCAAAACTTGAAATCCTAAAAATCTGGTATCTTTTTCTATCAATTGCAATGGGTTTTTGTTTGGTTTTTGGCCCAATATTATTTTTGATAATTTTAATTTCATTCACAATTTTTCTTACCAACTTGACATCGCTTAAAAAGATTCACTTCAAATTTCCTGACCCCATTTCAAGTTCTTTCATAGTATTCAATGTGATTCATCCAATTACTTTTTTATCCTCAAGCTTTATTGAAGAAGAACATCAGTTTTGGTATTTTTTGAATATCCTTTTCATATTCATATTTGCCGTAAATATGTTAAAAAATAATTTCAATGAATTATTATTTTGCTGTATTCTATTGATTGCTTTCAGATTTTTACGAACCATTAATTCAACAGGCGATAAATGGGCCAACATTCCAGATTTTTCAGACTGGCTTCTGAAAGAGAGTAATAAATGTATGTATCAATTGCATTCTTCCTTTGGGTTTCTTCTTTCCTCTTATGCTCAATATAAGCTAGTAAATTCGCAAAAACCTGGAATTCACATAGCAAATTTCATAATTATGTTGTTGATTTTTGTTTTTAAAAATTATGAATCAAACACATTGGCTAAAATTATTTGGCTCTTGCTTTTATCTCATGCTCTTATATTTAACAAGTGTTCAAAAATCGTACTGTGGATCTTTATTTCTGTACTCTTGATGAAACCTTATAATATTATTTTAATACCATATTGCATATTTTCAAGTTTGTTTTTTTCAAAATACCTCAAAACAATCGAGAGTCTTGTGCTATATCATATCTGCTTAGGAAACATGTTATATTTTGCTCAGGGCCACAGTAATAGTTTAGCAAGTGTTGATATTTCAGTTGGATATATAGGTTTGGATGAATACAAACCAATTTTAGTTATAGGGCAGGTCATTTGTCATACTTTTATTTTCCAAGTGCTTTGTCATTTTTTGGTAATGAGAAACAAAACAAATAAAATTATTGTTTGGGATATTTTGTTGTGTAATCGACTGTACATTTATATTATTACCTGTTTGGTAACTTATTTTTTCAGGAATCATTTGTTCATATGGTCAGTATTTGCACCAAAAGTATTCATAGAAAGTGTTCATACTGTGTTTTTAGTTGTTGAATTTATTTTTTATCTTTTTTGTAATAGGTACCTACAAGGTTGAATATCAAAAGACTGAGAAACATCAATGATAAATAAATGTATGAAAGATATGAACCAAATGATTTTCTATCATAAATAAGTAAATTTTTTTGTGGAGTTACACCGATAATGTCCCACTAAAAAGCAACTTTTGTTCTGACACAATAATTCATAAATTATCTCCAACTAAGAAATCCCTTGAAAGACCTTTTGTAACTATCACTTGGAATAAATCTCTGTGAGGAATCTTGCAAAAACGTTTTTGAGTAGCACTAAGATTCCTAGAAACCCTGGTGTTGGTAACGCTTAGATTTTGTTTTGAACTTTTTGAAGGAACCACCTGTTGCTTTTAACAACACTTACGAGAGTTTTCCCAAGATGGCGCTATTCTGAATTGTTCGAGTCCCCGCTGAGTCAGTCAAATTAATTATTATGTCATTGTCAAAAAAAATTTTCAACTTTTGGAAGAATATTCGTCCACTGTTGCCAAGTTTCACATAATTCCTAGCCACGCTTTTGTATACCCCAGATTGTAACATATTATGGAAAAAATAGTTTGAGTAGATTTTATGGGTGCCCTAAATGTAATAGAAACGAAACATTTCTGAATTATCAATCTCTGTTATTTTCTTGAAAACATTTTGCAGAATATTTGGGAGTGGAAAAAATTAAAACTGATATTTTTGACATATTTTTTCTTATATCTCCGTTAATAGTAGACGATCGTTAATGAATTTTTCACTGAAATATAGAAAATAATTAATAGATAACAATTACAACATCAAATCAATTTGCAGTGCCGTCGGGAGGGTGAAAAAATTTAAACCTGATTTTTTTTAAATATTTTTTCTTATATCTTCGTTAATAGTGGATGATCGTTGATGAATTTTACACTGAAATATAGCACATTATTCATAGGTATCATGTACAAGATTAAATCAATTTACAGTGCCGTCGGGGAGGGTGGAAAACAATCTGTCATTTTCCAATAATTTTTTGGTATATCTCTGCAATAATCGATGTGCGTTCACGAAATTTTCTCTGAAATGTCGAGAAATACCCTATAAAGATATTCCAAAACTCAAATGAATTTGAAGTGCCGTAGGAAAATGTCTGAGAAAAATAATATGTCATTTTCCAATAATTTTTTGATTTATCTGTTAATAAGCTTTGTGCGTTAACGAAGTTTTCACTAAAATGTCGATGAATACTCTACAATGATATTCCAAGACTCAAATGAATTTGAAGTGCCGTAGGAAAATGTCTGAGAAAAATAATATGTCATTTTCCAATAATTTTTTGAAATATCTAAAATATTTGCGAAAGGAATATCTCAGCAATATGATGGTAACGATCAGCGGGAATAAGGGCTCGTTCAAACCCTCGCCAATATTCGCAATTTTTCTGCGAATCGCAAAAAAATCGCCGCATGAACGTTCATAATCATGCGTCAAAAAAGTGCTGTTAACAATTAATCATCATTACATGTCATTTTTCTATTTATTGGCATCATAGATCTTCATCTCCCTAACGAGGTTATATAGTAATCTCCTTGACTTTTCCGTTTCCGAACACTACAAATATTTCTTTTTCTTGTCGTTAATAAAAAATACTAAAGTGATAAAAACAATAACACAAAAAAACTAAAGTTTCAGGTTAGGGAAAAGCAGATCATATAACAAAAATTAAAATGTTATCTGAACTGTGCTTCCATGGTTTGTGTGAAGTTGAAATATTTGAACTTTCTTGTGACATACTGGTAGCTATTTTATTCGCAGAAAAATTGCAAAGGGTATGTTCATTTATAAGATGTCTCAAGGCGCATGCGCTCGTTTTGACATTCAAAGTCTGATTGGATATTGGGAATATGAATAATAGTCATTGATTAGTTTGGAAATGATAATTTGAGATTGGTTTAGTAAAAAATTAGCGAAATTTCCACTTTCTGTCGACGTTATTACAAATGCAACTGCATACATAGGCGTTCGTGACTTTTTTATTTTTGTGATTATTATAGTGCATTCGATGGAAAGTGACTCAATTTATTAGGTCGACTTTACTGTATGTACAGTGTGATAGCTACAACATTGAAATGTTGTGTTCGAGGAGAGGAAAGGAAAAAAAACGGAAAAATATTTGCTGTCACTGACTGACATTGGATTTGACATTTGTCATATAAATGAAAGAGCAAATTAGACACCAACAAATCGCGATGCGATCTTTTTTGCTTTTTGAACTTAGAACTTATAATGGTTGACATCTACTGTCTGTACGAAAAGTACAGACAGATAAAATTTGAAATTTCATTTTCCAAAATTTATTTTTTTAACGTAATGAATTTTATTATTTGTTGTCTGCGAATTCTATTCGGTCCACAGTAGATGTCAGTTGTTGCTCGTGCAACTTTTCATAGTGGAAATCTTCATGCAAAATATTCTGTATCCAAATTTTGGCAATAACGTTTCCTTCCTTGGAACCCTACCGAGGAAGTTGAACAACCAAGTTATCACTATAACTTCGAGGGCAATATCTCAAAATGTTTTGGTCAAGCAGGTTAACTTGTAGCCATGGGCTAACCGAACCGGTACCAATACTGCCAATAAATATAGTTAGTTATACATTGGTGCCTAATCAGCTCGGGAAGACCTACTAAGTTTCCAGTTATAAAGTTATCTGAATTCCTCAATGAGCATTACCCACATTTGTCTTTTCAAAATTTACAAAATCTTCGAATTAATGACGAAATTATCAGATAATCTGCTTTATATATTTTTTCAACGAATACATTCAGAACGCGTACCAAAGTTTATCAAGCTCTTCTCCGTAACACAGGCAAGATAAATGAACTATTAAATTGTAACCACTTCAGTCATGTACCCATTGCAAATGATAATATCACAAGAACATTTTCTAGGATTGATTTTCATATTCTCAATGAAATTATTATACAAAATGAAATGTCCAGGGAAAGTCTTTTATCCGAATGTTATTATCCAGATAATTCAAAATATTCTGAACTGTGTAAACTGATGAATTTGAAAAATAGTGAAAAGAACCGTAAAAATCTTTGTTATTTTGTAAGACGAAATATAGATCATTTTGATTTCAAAATTGTTTCAAAGTACGAAACTAAATTACCAACAGATTACGATTTGTCCACAATTATTGAAAACAATAGTTCTGCTCATAGTTCAGTAAAGTTAGTACATTCCATTTTTTCTTATATCTCCGTTAATAGTGGATGATCGTTGATGAATTTTCCACTGAAATAGAGCACATTATTTATAGATATCATGTACAAGATTAAATCAAATTACAGTGCCGTCGGGGAGGGTGGAAAATAAACTGTCATTTTCCAATAATTTTTTGGTATATCTCTATTAATAATCGATGTGCGTTCACGAAATTTTCTCTGAAATGTCGAGAAATACCCTATGAAGATATTTCAAGACTCAAATGAATTTGAAGTGCCGTAGGAAAATGTCTGAGAAAAATAATGTCATTTTCCAATAATTTTTTGAAATATCTCTGTTAATAAGCTTTGTGCGTTCACGAAATTTTCACTAAAATGTCGAGAACTACTCTATAAAGATATTCCAAGGCTCAAATGAATTTGAAGTGCCGTAGAAAAATGTCTGAGAAAAATAATATGTCATTTTCCAACAATTTTTTGAAATATCTCTGTTAATAAGCTTTGTGCGTTCACGAAATTTTCACTAAAATGTCGATGAATACTCTACAATGATATTCCAAGACTCAAATGAATTTGAAGTGCCGTGAGAAAATGTCTGAGAAAAATAGTATGTCATTTTCCAATAATTTTTTGAAATATCTGTGTTAATAATCGATGTGCGTTCACGAAATGTTCACTATAATGTTCAGAACTACCCTATAAAGCTATTCCAAGACTCGAATGAATTTGAAGTGCCGTAGGAAAATGTCTGAGGAAAATAATATGTCATTTTCCAATAATTTTTTGCTTGCTTATATTTGCTTTCCTTGCTTATATGTATTTGAAGATATTTCTTGATCATAGGGGCAATGAGTTAAGTTGGAATTAGACTGATTATTAGAATTTTTAGGTTGTAGATTTGATTGATTTGAAGAAATACTACTATCAAATGATGTAATATTATCAATTGAAGCATTTGGAGTGGAATATACTAACTTTACTGAACTATGAGCAGAACTATTATTTTCAATAATTGTGGACAAATCGTAATCTGTTGGTAATTTAGTTTGGTACTTTGAAACAATTTTGAAATCAAAATGATCAATATTTCTTACAGAATAACAAAGATTTTTACGGTTCTTTTCACTATTTTTCAAATTCATCAGTTTACACAGTTCAGAATATTTTGAATTATCTGGATAATAACATTCGGATAAAAGACTTTC